ATTGTGTTGCATTGCATTGTGTAGCGACCTTTTCAGCCTCCAGTTTGCGCCTGTGTTCCTCCTTCTGCTGGCGGATCATCTGGGTCTTCTCCCAATTGTGCTGCCGCTCCAGCAGCTCCTTCTCGCGCTTCTCCTGAACGTGGTCCAACGTCTAAACAACACACCACACACACACACCCACACACAGGCGTCCATCCACACATCTATCTAGATAGCTGGGGGGGGGGGGGCCTGCTTACATACATACCTGTTGCTTCATGGCCCTGACGCCGGTCTGTTTGGTGCGCAGGAGGGCCATCTGTGTGGCCTCGCGAGTGGCGCGGGCCCGGTCACGCTGGAGGGCGTTGTGCTGCTGGCAGTCACGCACCGACTGGTACTTGGAACGGTAATACTGACACACACACACACATGGGGGTGGCTGTGCTGACGTGGTGGTTATCTCTCTGGCTCTGGTGGTTGTCATTGTCACGTCGTCTTTGGCCTGTAGTTTCTGCTCGTTTGTAGTCCTGAGTGTGAGCATCTCCTTGGTCTTCTTGCGGGTGTCGTCGATCTTCTTCCAAGCCTTCTCCTCCTCTTGCTGCACACACACAGCCATCCATCCATCCATCCATCCAAACACACAAACAGACAGACACAATTATGTCAGATGTGCCAACCAGTGTCGCCCCCTCCCTGACCTTGAGCAGGGCGATCCTGTTGGCCAGCAGCTGCGCATCGAGCTCGGCACGTTTGCGCGCCTCCTTGGCGGCCGCAAGGTTCATGCCAGTGCGGCCCTGGCTCTGACACCACACACACAGACAGCCAAAACACACACCAGCATATCAGAAACCAACACATGCGCAGAAAATCGCCTTTCTCTCTGTGCAAATGCCATCAGCAGGCTTCCCTCTGCTCTGCCAAGGCATCGCCCTTCTCTCCCTCTCCCCTCTGTGGCTGCCTGGCACCCGATGGCCCCCCTACCGAGGTGCTCTGATTCAGCATGGTGCAGGTACCCGACGATCGGCGGATGTGGACCTCAAAGCAAAGCAACTACGGGCAGCCGGGGGTCTACTGGAACCTCCTGGAGTCTCAGTCGCCGTCACGAATGACGCGTCACGGCAAGCGAGCGGCTCCGGCTTGCTCCCTGCGGCCTCCGGTCTTGCTGCTCCTCAGGCTGTGGGCCTTGCCAGCCAGTTGATGGCGGAGACCATTTGCAAGCCGAGAAGTTGCAAGCTCAGCGGGAGGAAAAGAGCAAAATTGGACGAAGCAAAAGGTGCAACGGCTGGTCCGAGGGCTTTGAACAAAGCATCTTCTGCCGCCTGCTTTGCCGCCTACTTTGTTCCTTTTTACTTTTCGGCGGCGAGGAAAGCACCGGAGACCATCAACAGGCAGCACTGCAGCAGCAGCACCGTTTCCGTCGGTGTCAGCGCCTCAGACACACCGACGGAAGATCGGTGCGCCCACCATATCTTCCTGAGCGGGTAAGCACACTCAGAAGAACGTGTTGCGCCTCCATATGAGCGTGTCGGTTGTGTTGCACCAGGCGTCCCATTCCGTGCGTGCGTGTGGGATAGTGGTGTTGTCGTCCTTGTTGCTGCGGCTGGTACAGTACTGCGGCTGAGATCCAGGGGACAATTCATCCTCACGCGCACTGCAGCGGCCTCGGTAAGCAGAGGACAAGGGAACCCGGTCAGTACGGCACTCACTGATCCAATGACTGGCTGTCTGTTGGGTGTGGATGTGTCTGTCTGTCTGTCTGTCTGTCTGTCGTGTGTGTGGCCTGCAGTGGGTGAGAGCATGATGGAGGGAGCCGCATCTTTGCCGGCCGAAGAGGGCCCAACAGCCTCTTCACCGGGCGGAGCTCTGCCCCGTGGCTGGATGTCGTCGGATGTCGTCGACATGACCTGGGTGGAAGACAACCAAGTCATCTACAACCACCAACGCCCCAACGATCCCACCGTCCGGCTGTTCGAGGGCATCATCCGCCGAACCATCAAGAGTGGGGCGCAGGTCACGCAGCTGATCCAACATGGAGCCGACCCGAGTTCGCTGCGTGAGCTGGAGCTGCGGGGCAGCGAGGCAGGCACTGTACACGCCTACTCGCCACTGACGCTCGTCATCGACAACATGACCAATGGGGGCGTGCCTTCCGTCTGGGCGAAGGGTGGGACGACTGACGAGGCTCCGATCGCCTTGTCGACGTGGCCCACCCCCGAGGTCCAGGAGGCCGTCATGCGCGCCCTCATCGTGGGAGGTGCGGATGTCAACTCGAGAGGCCTGGTCGATCCCGAGGATGAGCACACGTCCGCCACTTCCACCCCCATAGAGGTCGCCATCGCATCGGGCAACGACATGGCCCTCAACCTGCTCATGGGCCAGGCAGGTACGCATTCATTCGCAGCACACACGCATCACACAGCAGAATGTATGTCTTGTCTGCACGTCTGTCTCTCTGGATCACCTGCTGTCAGGGCTGCAACTGAGGGGGCGGCGGGTCATGGGGGTGCCGCGGACGTTGTCGACGGATCAGCCGACGGAGGCCAACGAGGCCTGGCTGCTGTCGACCTACCAGCGGCTCATCGATCATGACTCCACTCTCGCGGCCGAAGAAGGCCTTCTGCATGCCGCGGCCCGCAGCGGCGATGAATTCTCCCCGGCGTTCTTCAACTCATACGTCGACCTGCTGGTGCAGCATGGGGCACAGGTGACATGGGCGGATCACCGCGGATGGACGCCTCTGCATCAGGCGGCAATGACCGGCTCGCCCCGCTTCGCTGATTCTCTCTCTCGCCATCTGAAGGGGGCGGACGTCAACAGAGAGGAGATGGGCGCCCCACACCAGATGGACCGCAAGTGGACCCCCCTTGCTCTGGCCGCTGATTGTCTTCATGGATGCCTTCCGGCGCAAGACGACAACGACGACGAAAACCCAGCAGCTTTCGCTGCGGAGGAGACCATCCGCGAGTTGCTCAAGGCAGGGGCGGACATCAGCCGCTTGCCCACAGCCACCGAAGCGAACAACATCGATTTCCGCCAGCTGGTGCTGCCCCAGTACACAACAGTGCTCAACGAGCTGCCCACTGGGGCAATGGCAGCGGTGAATGCCGCCCTGCGGCCTCATCGTGGCCTGGCTGCCTTCCTGATCAAATCCCTCCCCACCCTCCTCCCCCACCTGATGGAGCCCCCTCACACTGGCACCCTTCCTGCCAATCCGCCCGCCGCCCCCCCTGGCTATGGCCCACACGAGGCAGAGGCCATCGGCTGGAAGATCGCCGCGATGTGCTTCGACCAAGACGCCGCCAGTGAGGCCATCAGCGGCAGCATCGGCATCCGCAACAGCACACTCGCCCGTCGCGTGACGGCAGCGGCGCAGCACTTCGTCAAGTCGGCTGTGTTCGAGGCCAGCAGCAGCAGGGAGGTGGTGGGCGGGACGAGGCACCTGCAGCAGGGCAACAAGCGCGTCAAGGTGATCGTGCCCCCGCTGCAGTGCTTTGCTGTCAACGGAGGGCAGCATGGTGGTCATAGGCAGCTGGGGCTCCGTGAGGTGGTCCACAGGGCCCGGCTGGACGAGGCGGCCCGACACGGCATAGAGGAGGGGGCCATCAAAAAGGGCTTCATGGGCAAAGCCGACTGTGAGGTCGGTGGGTGGCCGCAGCTGGGCCGCATCGACGAGCGGGGCCAGTGGGTGTCGCTCGGCATCAACTGACTGACTCACTGACTCAGTGGGTGGTGGAGAGAGAGGCGGGCAGATGAGGCGGGTCAGTTGTCAGAGAGGGGGAAGGGTCGAGTCGAGGAGAACAGCTGCCTGAGCCAATGAAGTGCGTGTATGAGTAATTAGTGGGTGGCGGGCCGGCGGGCTGGTTGGCTGCATTTCATAGTCCATGCAGCAGAGGAGATGAATGCAAAGCTGGTGTGTCTGCCGCCTTTGCAATGAGATGGCTGTCATCGAGTGCATGTTCACAGGTAGGTGTTCGTGGGATTTCGTCTTAGTCAACTGACCTAACTGAGTCTTTTGTGATCGAGTCGTCCATGCATGGAGGTGAGGTGATCAGGTAGCCGCTGACTAACTAGCTAATTCGAGCCCCGCATAACCCTTCTGTTTTCTCGTGACGTCGTTGCCGATAAAGGTCTCATTCAGGTCATTCCCTTATGACCATGCACGTGGTGAGAGAGAGCCATGGGTGACAGCGAGATCACATCCTATCACAGCACACCAGTTCTCGTGGCGTTCATGCATCTTTTCTTCATTGAACGCCACATATACGTTCTGCATCGGGAGAAAGGAGGGATCATTGGAAAAATCGGAAGAAAGACGTTCTGCGAGCTTTTGGAAGTAGATCTCCTACGAACCCTTTTAGTTGAGATAGATATAGTGGCGAAGAGATATTGCCGACACCGGGAGGACCTCGCGGCTCCCCTCAGTGGTCCGGCGATGAGTCGAACGGGAGCGGCCCTGGTGACCGCACGTCGTCTGCCACGCTAGCAGCATCTCCCCACGCAGAGCGCACACCTGCGACTGACAGCAACAAAGCTACCTCTCGGCAGCTCGCGTCCGCACCGCCCATCGCAATCCAGCGTCCGCCGATGCCAACTGACGCCATGACGCACACCAGAGTCAGCAGCAACCGCAGCCATCCGTCCAGCGGGATCAGTCCATGCTCATCCCCATCCCCTCACCAGTTGTGGGCGGCGTCCCCATGCAGGAAGGGGGCTCGGGGCTGATGGGAGGGGTGGGGCACGGCGGTGGGTCCGGAGAGGATGACATCACTGTGGACGCCTCAGCAGTACGGACACGCACACATGCACAGACAGACAGACAGACAGACAGACACACACAAACAAGGGAGGTGTGTGAATGTGTGTGATTTGTGGGTGTGATTGTCAGGACGGCAGCCGTCAGCCCTCCACTGCTTTCGACATCTTCGCATGCGCCCAGCAGCAGGCCGCCCAACACACCACTCGCTCCATCGACCCATCGCCAGTCGCCGCAGCAGCGGCATCAGGGGATCAGCAACCAGCGGGTCCCTCTCGCCCATTCCCTCCCTGCACCCCCTCCCCCATCACACCCGACCAGCGGCAGGGCCAGACGTCGGGCTCTGATGCTGTTGCCATCATGTCCCTCGCTGCTGATGCTCTGCTGGCTGGTGACATCGGCCCCTTCGTTGAGCAACTGGAAGAGCTCAATGAGACGCCGCTCTTGCCGGATGATGGCCCAGTTGTCGGGGGCCTCGTACGGTCATTGGCCGAGAAGGACAAGGCGCATCGACAGGTGGGTCAGGGAGGCCTCGCCGGGTGCATTGTTTCCATTTTCAATGACAGCAGCAGCGACATAGAGCAACAGACTGCGGCGACGCGCTTCCTCTGGCGGCTTTGTCAGGCTGGTTATCCGTTTGGTGTGGAGTGGCTGCCGCTGTTTGGTGTCTTGGTGGACACAGTGTTGGGGAGGCTGACACTATCGGACCGAGAATTCATGGCAGCTGCCTCCGTCTTGCTCAGCGATAGAATTCCAGGTGATCATGTGGTGCATCGGCAAAGGTGGCTGTCATATCTCCACATATCTGTGTGCCTTTGGTCCATCGTTCAGTGACGACTGAGGCGCTGGAGGCATTTCAGCAGCACATATTCTGCCACGTCGATTTCCTCGTCGAGACCCTGGTCACCAGCTGTGATCTGGCGATTGTTTGGGAGGCTTACGAGCTGATAGGCATCATGTTCTCACACGCCCGCCGCGGCTTCCCCTCTGAGCTAGGTGCGGATCACCTTGATGCCAAGAGGGCTCGTTGATTCGTCACGCCGCTGCATGAGTACGTGTGGGTGTGTGTGGATGCAGTTGTGCTGCCGCCGTATGCCGTAGTGTGTCAGCGAGCCCCGCTGCTCTGGGCAAGATGGCCGCAGTGCTTTCTTTCGCCACCGCTCAGTGGCCGGCTTTCATCGTCTGGGTCTATCTGAAGGTGCCAGTGGCAATGGCTGGTGAGTGATGGGGCATGGTCCATGCCGCTTATTGATGTCTCGTGTGCGTACGTCTTTCCTCAGAATGTGGCTACTGCGAGCGTGTTGCGCAGGCGGGCTTCCTCTCGGCAGCCATGAGCATCCTGCAGAGCGACAGACTGATCAAGGCTGGCCTCCATGGACGAGCTGTCGTGGCGGCTTCGGTTCATCTGCTCAATCTCATACTTGCTCGTAACTCGGTCAGTCAGAGTGGATGCGACGCGCAAGTATGAGCACTCGGCACTCCTGTTTTCACTTAACTTCAGTATGCTTCGTGCGAGGGCCTGTCCGAGGTCATGTGCTCTCTGCTGTCGACGGTTGCGACGAGTGACGCTGCATACGTCGCATCCATCATCTGCGGGGGCCCCATCGGCATGGCAATTGGCGTCCTGGAAAGCCTCTCCAGGTGCGTCTTTCCGTCATGGCTTGAGTGCCTCGAGCGAATTGTCTTCATGTGTGCAGCTTCTGTGATCGGCAGCTGATGAGTGGGAAGGCCAAAGACAACCCGATCGTCGAACGTGTTCTACAGGTCAGTGAGGGCAAAGGATGGCCGAATCGGCGGTCACCTGTGTGTGTCTGTTGCTGTGTGTGACGCCCTTCACTTTCAGAGAGGAGTGGACCTCTCTGCCCTGTCCGTGCCCCTCACAGCGACGTCACAAGACAGCCTCTTGCAGGACGTGAGTGAATTGCGGCTCAGTGTCAACAACGTGCAAGCTTACAATTGTGCACATCTGTACTCTCACGGCTGCAGATTTTGGATTTCTTCGCCAAGATTCGCCGCCGCAAGGTCTGCCGTACCTAAACCCATCGACCACTGCTCGCCACTGTGTCCATGTGATCTGTGCAGCTGGCGATCGATCAATGGGTCTCATCGCAGCACGACTCGGCGAGAGAGGCTGCACGACGGGAGAACAAGCAGGTGGGGACAGAGAGGGCGACCATGTGTGACCGACCCCTCACATGTTCTGTGTGTCCAGCAGAATCGGCTGGTGTGTTGTCTGTCGGACAAGAGAGTCCTCCGCACCATCTACCAGCTTGTTGGGCCGTTCCATTTCACTGCCGCACAAGTCGCTATGCTGGACCTCTCATGTCGGAGTCTGCTAGACGCGTAAACAGTCATTTACACACAGACAGACGCACCTGCAGTCGATGGCCACTGTGTGCTGGCTGGTATTAGGTTGTGTCCTGTCCGTTCGACGGACCGCATCTCATCATATGCCAATCGCGAGGTGCTGGCGCCATTTGCATCGATCTTAGTGAGCAGACGAAATGGGCTGGTGGCGGCACTGGCAAGGTATGTGGATAGAAAGAGATGGTGGACAGCAGTTCGATCATGTTCGCGGCTTCATTCTTGCCATCAGGTATTCACCCGACATGATGTTGGAGTTGTCGATCCGCTGGGAGTGCTCACCGACCGCCGATGACATCAGCGACCTCATTGGCTTCCTCCAGAGGGCCGACAGACTCATGACGCTCCAGCTGATGTGTAAGGCGGTCGGAATTGAACGCGCACGTTGCCGGTAAATGTCAAGGTATGTGTGCCGCTCAGTTGTGGATTTGACTCGTCTGCCTGATGACGAGTGCGCACAACTTGCCGACGCCATCGGCCGCCTGCCCTCTGTTCTTGAGCTATACATGCATTATGTCAATATGAGCCCTGCCTTCGCCGACCGGTTGAGTTCTCTGCTCAAGGCCCGGCCAGAAGGAGACGGCAAGGGCGACAGCAGCAGCGGGAGTGCCTCCCCGCCGCCGTCATCATCGCGTGACGTCACCCGTACCCACAGCACATCGTCGGCCGCCGTGCCGGCAGACTCAGCGGAGGACACACAGGAGACGACAGAGGCGAGGCAGATGGCCGACACGGGGGACGACAAGAAAAAACAAGCCTTCACGACACTCAGGTATGAGGGCACAACAGGAAACGAGAAAACAGAGCATTCACTCAGGCCGTGTGATGCGTGTGTGCAGGCGAATAGTAGTTTATTCATGTCCTATGTCGTTCAATTCCTATCTAAACTTGCTCGAGGTCGACCGACGAATCCATGTGACAGACTGGGCTGTACTTGTATGTGTCGTATCGCCTGCAGGGCCTCTGTGGTAGGTCTTTCGAGTCTCTGAGTCTGCTCCAGATGGTCCTGACCAAGTCTGAGGGCGAAACCTATCGATACGACGAACTGCAGGTCTGGAAGGCACTAACCACACTGAGACAGCCTTGCTGACACCCTCCCTTGTTGGCATCTCTCTTGTCCGCAGAGAGTGCTGGAGCGCGTCTTCGGAACCATTGTGTGCAGGGACATCCATCTGTCTTTCTGCTCGGTTGGCGAGCTGTCGCTGCCCGTAGTTGAGGATACAGTCATGGCCGCCGCGACCGCTGGCCTTAAGACCAACCCCAATCGACGCACTCTCAAGTAGGCCACGTGAGCCCGTTTGTGTGCCAGTGTGTATGTAGCTGACTGTGTCCCTTCAGCCGCCTGAAGCTGCCTGCCACCGCAGCAAACACCACTGAGCCCTTCCTTCAATTGGCCTTGAAGGACCTCACACTGTCGGACCTCACTCTGCGATGTACGTGAAGGCATTGGCAACCGTCGCGTAGACGAGGCTGCTCCATGTGTCTGTTCCTCAGCACGGGTCCCTCTGGGCGAGCTCATCAGCCAGCAGTTCCTGTCGAGTGGCGACCTTGCGTCATTGGTGCATGGGGCCGTCACCAGGGCCCACGATGAGCGTGAGAGTGCCCTGCGAGCCGCGCGTGAGGTCAAGGAGCGTCGGTGGGCGGCCGATGAAGCCCGCCTGCCGCCGGCGGCTGACGCAGCTGGGGAGGACCGACGGAGGGCGGCACGGGAGAAGAGGGAGGAGGGGCTGCGGGCCGAGGAGAAAGAGGCCAGACGCAAACCGCCATTCATTCTGAACCTCAGTGGTAGATGAATGTGCAGAAAGGGCATGTCAGCTTGTGCCACTACTCTGTTGTGCCTGTGGACCGATGCAGATGTGCCCTTCGCCAATGTCGCCAGCCCTCGGTCTCCTGTCGCGGTCATTAATGTTATCGAAGCCACCAACAAGAAATACACCTATAACCAGCCAGTCATCTTCACACGTGAGCCAACTAGCGAAGCTACCGGCAGCACCTCCCCCTGCCCGCCTGCCTCCCTGCTATCTGTGCAGATTCCAATTTCGTGCCTGATGGGCGATATGTCGGCCCCTCGTCGCGTCTCCCCCAGCACCTGTGTGCGGTCTTGGTGCGCTCGTACGACCCCTTCGCCCCCTCCACGTGGTGGACCACCGTCGCCAGCAAGGCCCCCTCATTGCTGGTGCTGTACCTCAGCAGCCTATCCTGCGACAACAACGGCCCCGATTCGACATTTGGCTTCCAGAACCCTTTCTCCGTGACGGCGGCTAACCTGGCCATGTATCGCGACTGTGAGGATGAACTCGAGGCTCTCAAGGACGACCCTGTCATCAACAATATCACTCAAGAGGATGTCGATACAGCACATGAGCTTGCCACAGCACATGACCTTGCTGGTAAGTGAGGGAGCGGTGGGGGACGGAATCCATCTAAAGTGGATGCAGAGCCTCGCTCGTTGCTGTGGTCCGTTCTGCAGAGGCCGCCAGGCTGGTGGCCCGACGAGATGCATCACAGGTACAGAAATGAGTGCCTGGAAAACACAGCAAGTTCGACTGGTCACTTCAGGCCTTGGATGAGAAGCTCAAGCGGGTTGCCGTCATCGACAAGCTGCTGCCGACGCTGCACACCAAGCTCAACGACCTAGAGGCCCAGAGGGACAAGGCGGCCGATGCCGACATCGACAGCATCGACAACCAGATCACCAGCCTCACGGAGCAGATCAACAAGAAAACCGCGGCCAAAACCACGCTGCTCGAGGAGATCGGTAGGCTGGCCACCACCAACCACATACGAACACGCATGGCACACCGCCTTTCCTTTGACTTTGTCGTTCAGCCGTGCTGCAGAACGCCATGACAGACGTGCTTAATGAGTCGCAAGGCGTGTCTGGCTGCGCCAAGTCACATCAGGAGGACCCCCATACCAGCAAGGGCCGGCAGCCGACCCGCTTCGAGAGCAAACGCGACGAGCTGCGCCACAAAGGCGACATCATGCAGAAGAACGCCGCCCGCCAGGCCGAGAAGGACAGCAAGAGAGGCGACCAGCCGCCCAAGGACGACGCGGCCGCACAGCAGCGACTGCAGCGGGCGGAGGCGCGTGCTCGCGCGGCGCGCAAGGCTCTGGGGGTGGACTTCTCCAGCGATGAGGACCAGCAGCAGCATGGTGGGGACGGTCAGCAGGGGGGCGAGGCTGTTGCTGCGGCGAGTGCTGCTGGTGGGTCTCTGGTTCCTCTGATGACCCCCTCCATGCCCCCGCTGCCCGACATCGGGTGTGACTCTGACGACCTGCTGTCGCTTGATGGTGTTGAGTGAGAATGGTGGCGGTGGTGGTGATGGCCTGGCTGGCCAGAGGGCTGGAGAGATCGACGGAGGAGCCGCAAGGGTCGTTGACGACGGTCGTGTGAGTGGTGGAGAGGAGGCCGAGGCGATGCGGGCCAGGTGAGGCGATTGATGGGGTGTGGTCACTCACACAGTGACGGTGTATCTGGTCGTGTCAGGGTTGCTGAGCTCGAGGCTGAGTTGATGCGCAGAGACCGGCAAAGCGAGGCGACGAGGTGAGAGAAGAAGAACGAAGGGGGGAGGGATTTACCACCGGGGTTGTGTTCGACTGCAGGCGTGAGTCGATGGAGAGGGAGGCCGCCCTTCAGCAACAGCTTCAGGCTGCCCAGCAGGGGACTCTCGCCGCCCGCCAAGAGACCCTCGCCGCCGATCAGGAGACCCTCATCGCCCGTCAGGAGAGCGAACGGTAGACACACCAACACATCACCTACACACATCAACCATGTGTTGTGTGTAGGTTGCGTGAGGCTCAAGCGGCCCGTCAGGAGATCGACACCGCCCGTCGAGAGATTCAGCGGTGGGCAGACATCACAGACACCAACTCATCCATCCAACTGACTGTGCCCTCCTTTGTTGCTGTGTCTAGGTTGCGTGAGGCTCAGTTGGCGGGCGAGCAGACCGTCGTCGACACTCTGGCGGCCAACGAGCGGCTCCAGGCCGATATGCGTCAAGCCAATGCGGATCGACAGCAGCTCAGCCAACAGCATCAGCGGCTCACCAGGTATCTACACACACACAGGAGGCAAACAAGGTCATATGCACCTCACTCTCCCTGTACGCCCTGCTTTCAGTGACATCGATCGCGAGAGGTCTCTCCGGCAGCAGCAGGCGGCCGAGATGCGGCAGCTCCAGAGTCATCTTGACAGATACAAGAGGTCAGTCAGCCACACAGCACTCACCCACCAACAACGCAATGAATAGGACGGAACTGTGTGTGTGTGCGTGTGTGTTGTTCGCCCTATCAGGGCTGCTGCTAAGAGGGAGGCGTCGCTGACGCAGCAGAACACATCACAGGCACAGGAAATCGCCAGGTGCATTACCGACAGGCAGCCAATGATGTACGGATCTATCTCCCTCCCTTTGTGTCTGTCGCTCGATCAGCCTCACCGAGGGCAACCGTGCGCTTCAGGCTGACGTAGATCAGCTACGCAGCAACCAGATCGACAGGTCCGTACCCACTCAGAGAGGCCGGCGACACCAGTGCATGCCCTTTGATGTGATGATGTGTGTCATTCAGGTTGACCGAGACCTTCAATGGCCTGACCACTGCAGACGAGTTCAGCGGCTTTGCTATGCAGCTAGCGGACCGACAGACGGCACTCAGCAACGAGCAATCCCAGCTGCAGTCACTCGAGCGGCGGGCTCAGCAGGCCGCCCAGCAGAGGATGCAGGCCGAGCTGCGTCAGCAGATGCGGCAAGAGATGCAGCAGAGCAACCAGAGGGCACGAGAGGAGGCCACCGACTGCCAAGTGTGCCAGGAGAGGGAGCGGTTGGTGGTGCTGCGGCCGTGCAACCACTTCTGCATCTGCCGGCAATGTGCACAGACCATGCAGCCTCGCGAGCGCCCACTGTGTCGACAGGACTTCACCGGCTGGAGCCCCGCCATATTCTCATGACAACAGATCGACCTACTGTGGGTGCTGGTGGTGGGGCTGTGGCATGCTATATCATGGCAGACAGACAGCAGGGGGGAGGGGGCCAGTGGTTGATTTAAGAGTTTTGTTGCTGTGTGTCCGTGTCAGCTTTATGGCTTCTTGACCCCTCACTGCATGTTATTGCTTCCTCTCTTATATGGACTACCAGCCTGCCTCGCTGTCTCACTGTGTGTGCCACCCGCCTCATGGGGTGCTGGGATGTGTGGTGTGTGTGCCATGAAGAAGAGAGGGATTTATGGATTTTCAACCACACCTCACTCATCGCACTGCATTTCCTTAGATGCGTCTCGCTCATCTCTCTCTACGCATCCATCGCTGCTTCGCTGCCTAGATATGGAGGGACCACGTGTCAGCTGTTGGGCGTCTCTGTGTCGGTGAATGCACCTTTTATACAGAGACAGGTGTACAGACATATATGACGTATGTGGGTGGGGGCCATGTCTGTAGAGTAGAAGGACCATAGGCCGAATTGAGACAGACACGGGAGCTGTATCCGGACACAGGCAACACACACATGGACCGTACGCGTCCGAGTGTGCGATGATCGATTCATTCACTGAGTCGCTGTATGTGGCAGAGAGACAGACAGAGAGCCCGACCTCACGCCACAGCCATTGTGTTAACATTCATTCATCCATTCATTACTTAGACACGCACACAGAAAGGCAGACAGACAAATACAAAATGCCTCAGTGGTGCTTCAACGAGCCTGCGGCATAAGATTTATGATTGAGACCTTTGTTGGCAACCTATTGCGCTTTCATGTTGACGGAGAAGAGTCCCCCACAGGCGCTCAGACATGACACAGAGGGAGACATCAGTAACTCATCAGCGTGTCCGTGGCATGTCTCAGCTCTTAAGACTGCCCTCAGGTAGCTGCGTTGGCAGGTGTTGGCCGCCCACACAACATGCAGCTCAGAGGAGGGTGCGGCGATCGCCACGGCTCATGGAGATGCTGTCGGTCTCTCCAAGAACGCCCCGTCACGGTGGGCACACAAGGATCAATACGCGCAGGCCAATGAGACGGTTTATTTGGTCAACAACATGGCCCCATCACGACGGGAAAGAGCCACGCACAAGGGTGAGAAAAGAGGGAGGAAGGAGTGCACGAGTTGGTGGAACTCTGTGTGTTGGTGTGAGTGTTTCTTTAGTCAGTGCCCGGCCGCATCGACGAGCGGGGGTGGCAGCAGCTGGGCCGCATCGACGAGCGGGGGCAGTGGGTGAGCCTTAACATCGACTGACTCACTCTTGAGCGATCTCAGAGCTGACATGCGTTGGATGCCGATGGACGGTGGATTGCATTTACGCTTCAGAGGACTCTGTGTGTGTGTGTGTGTGTGTGTGTCTGTCAACTCATGTCCACGCTAATGTGCACTATTGACGATGTGAACAAGTCGCACAATCGTCAATCCTAGCACACACAACCGATCACACAGCACAGTAAGTCTCCCAGGATCTCCACATCGTCAGCTGCAGTCAGTCAGAATCTGAACAGTTACAGAACAAACACGACAGGAAAGGAAGGGCGACGTCATCGATAGGGCAACCAACGGTTCAGTGAGTGCTGCTCACGGCTGCATCCATCGTACCCGAGAGATGTGAGCCATCCCTTGACCTTCAACACATGAAGGCCCTTGATCTCCAGCAGCCCCGCACGGATCCTCACAGGCGCCTCACACACGGTCTGCAGCTCCTTTCGAAACGCCTGACGCGCACACACACAGGCGCACTGACAGTCATTCCACTCAGTCAGTGCCGCATGAGATCTGTCCAGACGAAGCCCACTCACAGCGGCTCACATGGATGTCGCCGAAGACCTTCCGCACTTTGGTGGTGACGTATGTGCCATGGTTGCGAATCAAAGGATACACAGGCAGGTTCCCTGATGGCGTCCTCTGCACCTGCACATCAACACAGCCACTCAATGAGTGAGTCATTGATTGCACCTGACTGACGAGCGGCTCGTTTATCTAGATATCGCAGCTAGCTACGCTGCGTGCCGCCCATCTTACCTTATAGGGGATGTGTGTCATGTCCTTTTTCTCCGGCGACGGCCTGTGGGCCCTCTCCAACAGACACCTCACCGCCCCAGCCGGATGGCTGAAAGGTGACGAACATGTCATCAGGCGGGGACGATACAGCATGGCCGACGAGGCCTCCATAGATGAGATGTGGGCCAGATCCACTGCGAGCTAGAGGCGCGAGCTTGGCTCGCAACGGGAAGATCCCTGCCTTTGCGCATGCTGTGTGTGCGCTGCGGTAGTCCGGTGCTGAAGGAGGACGGCCTGAACAAGGCGGCGGACTCGTTTGTCCCATTTCCAACTGTCGATGAGAAGATCTGCTGATTCGCTCAGGCTGCTGCCGTCCTCCCTCCTGCTTATCTTCATCGCAGCGGGCCACGGTGCGCGGGGCAGGGGAGTGCCGGTGGACGTGAAGCCACTTCGGAGGTCGGGGGCGTTTGTGCTGCCTGCCAGCCGGCGTGTGCGAGTGGTGACGACCAACAACGTGCTGCCGCACCACAATTATGTGACCATGTGCGGCACCAGCACAGCAGTCGACCGTGTTGCTGCCGCCCTGCCCATCGACAGCGAGTCGTCGGTGGAAGAGGAGGACCTCAGCCTCATCGGCATCAAGAGCAGACAGGCCTCCACACCCTCATCCTCGTCAACCGCAGCATCCGTCTCCAGCGATGTGTCGCTGCCCTCCTCCCCCTCTCTCAGCCCCCTCCCCCCACCCACCATCCCGCCATCGCAGACATCGCTCTCTCCTGTCAATGCCGTCACCCCCACCACCCCCCACAACCGATTGCAACGATTCGTCAAGGCTTTCGACCGACTGTTCAGCTCTCGCGCCTCCCGGTTCACCCTTGCCGTCACACTCGCCCTGCTGCTCAGCCAGGTGCGGCGGTGGGCGGCCTTCTCGCGGTTCATCAAGCGAGTGTTGCCGGCGGCGTCCATCGTGACTGTGGGTGGGGGCGCTCTGGCCGGTTCGCTCCATGCAGTGAGCGGCCCCGACCACCTGGCGGCGCTGCTGCCGCAATGTCTTGGGCGGCGGTGGACGGGCGCTGGGAAGCTGGGGCTGGTGTGGGGGCTGGGCCACGGGCTGTCGGCCATGATCATGGGGATGCTGGCCTTTGTGCTCAAGGACCGCATATTCGTCATGGATGCGGCCGGCCTTCACGGGGGTGCGCTGATAGAGCGGATGGAGACCTGGACGGAGGGGCTGGTGGGGCTGTCGCTCATACTCATCGGATTCTTCGGCTACAAAGAGGCGCGATCCTGGGATGCTGAAGAGCTGCAGGTATGTATTGAAGCAGGGGAGCAGGGCAGGTGTGTCCTCTTTCTCATATTCGTCTGTCTGTCTGTCTGACTGACGTATGGACTGGCTGACAGGCTCAGCTGGATGCACGTGCCAAAGAGGAGCAAAAGGAGGGCTACCGAGATCTGTCGGCCTCTCTGCGTCGCGGCCTGACGCTCTTCTTCAACGGCATGCTGCACGGCTTCTCGCTGGACGGCGCTCCCGGCCTCGCCCCTTCCCTCTCCTTCACACGATGGCCGGCCGTGTTCCTATTTCTGCTGTCTTACTGCACCGGCACCATGGTACAACCAACGTCAGCACACCGACACAAACAAAGAGGGAGGGGCAAGGCAGACTGGTTGGTCGATGTGATGTGTGTCATTCATGTGTCATATCTGTGTGCAGCTGACGATGAGTGCGTGCAGTGCTGCGGCTGGGGAGGGGTCGATAAGGCTGACGAGGGCGGTGGACCGGCCAGACATTCCCAAACGCCTGGCCTTCGGCGCGTCGGCGTTCGCTGCGGGCATCGGCATCGTCTGGTTCGCCAAGGCCATCGGCCTCTTGTAGGCCAGCAGGGAAGGGACAGAAGTCATGTTGCTGGTGTGTATTGGGTGAGTGGATGGGCGGCAAAGGCGAACAGCCTTGCTTGTTCAGGGGAGTGAGTACTTTTGAACAAGGGAAGAGGGGGAGGGATCGCTGTCTGTCTGTCTCGGTGGGTGCATTCGTGGTGTGTGCATGATTTTTAGTTGAGGGGCAGGAGGGCATCACAACGAGCCGTCTGATGGTCCATGTGGGGTGTCGGTCAGCGGTCAGTAGGGAGGCTCTCTTTCTCCGGTACGGATCTGCTTGCATTCTTCTCGTCTGCCTGCCTGCCTGCCTGTCTGCCTGGCTGCCCAAGCAAGTGTATGTGTGGATGGCTGGATGATTTTCAGAGGCCGACATAGGTCTGTCTGTCTGTCTGTCTGCAAACGAAGCTCTCATATTTGGGTTCTGAAGGAGAGGGGACAATGGCTGGCTGCGTATGGCACTCACTCACTCACTGCGTCCGCGGGTGTGTGTGTGTGTGTCTGTCGACGTGTTTGTCGTGAGGACTTTACGCCTCCTCTCGTAGGGATGGATGGATGGATGGGTGGACACACAGATGGATGGATGATGGGCATTTTTGCATTTTGAAGCACAGCCAAACATGCGCATGAGTTGGAGGTGAGTCGCCCAGTCACACACACACACCAATACACACACACACCGTCCATCGTCATCCCACTCACATTCACGCTCTGTCATACCTTTACTCAAAAGTGCCTTCTTTCCTGCCAGCGAAAGTCGCGACACTCAGAAGATGCGAATCTGCTCATCTATGATGACTGCCGTCCGCCAGTGTGAGCGACGAGTCACAGATGACCATGGCAGTGACAACACAACCTTTGCTTTGTCACCAGGGTGTCGGAGGCTTAAGGGAGAAACGGGACGTCCGCGATATAAAATGTAAGCAGCGACTGCAGGGACACGAGACACATCCAGGCACACGTGTTACCCATCCACGCAGTCTGTCCTGAAGAAGGGCACGTTGGTGGCTGGGCAGCTGCTGACGCTGCCGCTCATTGTACAGTGTGGCACTTCTCCGCACGGGCGTGTTACTCCAACTACACACACATACACACACATACACACACACACACACACACGCGCACACAGAGAGAGAGAGAGCATTGACAAGCGGAGGAGGGTCGGGGGGCGGGGGGGATGAGTGAAGGGTTCGGTTGTCTGGGTGTGCTGACCTTCCGCTGGTCGTATTCCTTGATGGTCTTCTCGAACTCGATGAGCTTCTTGTGGGCTAATCAGCGCACGCATCGCTCTGAGATCTTCCTTTCAAAGACAGTTGATCTGCAACCAGCTTCAAATCTTGTATAGAGGGCACACTCTGTGATGAGACATGGCGGATGGGATGGTAGGTACTTGGGACCTCCATGTCTCCATCCTACACACAAGTGTGCGTGTCTTGCCCCCACCATTCAGGCCGTCCGGCGGCCGAGATTGTCCCAGCGCTCGCCTCGTGCGGCTGCCACGGCGGCCGCCCCCACTGACCGCCACTCGAACACACGCCGCCAAACGAGTCGATCTGACAGAAAAGACAGGCACCATAGCCCCTCCCATCAGTCGCTCTCATCTCCTCACTCACCTCATCGAGTTGCCCGGTCACGTCCACAGTTATTTTGACGTCCATAGGCGGGATGGGGGCGCTAAATGTCGGTTGGCAGATGGGAGATCTGCCAGTTGTTGAAGGGCCGTTGACTGCAAGACGGCAGGGACACCGCCTTCGTTGAACGTCTCCAACATCTGCAGACAGACAGATTGGGGAAATGAAACGGACACAGAGAGAGAGAGAGAGAGAGAAATGAGGTTACGTAAGTGAGGATTGCAAGTATGTATTGAAAGCGAACCAAGTTGTCAACGGCTTCGTGGTGCACCACCCACTTGATGTGGTTGTACCACTCGTCCAGCTCGGCGGAGTCCCTGCACTCGAAGCAGGCCTTCGGCCCTCTTGCCCCGTCATAGAGGGCTATCAGCCTGACGTCACACGCAATCGAAATAGATCCCATGTGTCAGACGCGCGCCATTGATAATTTCCTCACTCACTCAGTGCTGCTGCATGTGTCGAAGTCGACGGTGCCCTTCTTGCCCGTGTCGTCGTAGCCACCGAACATGGCCTTGTTGAGCAAAGGATACACCGACACGCCACAGCCCGCGCCTCATCGAGAGGTAGGGAGAGCAGGCACTGGTCGGTCTTGACGGTGTGGGCGAGGATGGGCGACGCCTCGAACTGCCGAATGAGCGAGGGGGATATGTCGATGGGGCCCCACTGCAATGATATATCCCAGCATGGTGTGCAGTGCCTGCCCCGCGAGGCGACTGGCGGCGGTCTGCGTGTCCGCGTGATTGTTGGCGTGGTAATCCTGGTCAGTGATCAGGTACACGCCATCTTCGGTGGGGGTGAAACCGATGGGCACCATGTCACGCGCCTTGGTGTGGCAGTTGAAGGGCTCCTGGCGAGCCGACAGGTCGCTGGGCGGCCGCAGGAACGAGAAGAGGCGTGTCGGCGAGAATGGAGTGGTCCTGGGAATGCCCTGCAAAGCAGCACCGACACACCCAGACCAGCAGCGCGTTGGGGATGTTCTTGAAGTTGAAGTACCGCCCGTCGTCTCGCAGCTTGCGGGCCGCCACGCAGATGCGCTTGTCGCCCAGGTCAATGTAGACCGTCCGCGACCCCCAGCAGCAGCCTGGCTGGCTGATCTTCAGGTAGCCGTCGCTGAGATTCACCTCCTGGTCGACAGGCCGCCAGTACCACACCCAGTTGACGTCCCGTCGAGGGAGGACGCCCTCACGGTCGCCGGGCATCGATGCAGCGACGGCTGGGTAAGGGGAGAGAGTGGGGCTGAAGCGGTACAGAAACTTTGAAAACGTAGTGGGTGGGACTCTTCGACGCTACCCAATGCTCTCGTGTCTCGCGCCTATGCCGTACGATTCGGTCTGCGACGAGAAGAAAGGAGGCGCATCTTGGATATGGACTTACCGTCGCAGGGTTGAGGAAGACGGGACGTTCGAGATATAAAATGTAGCCAGCGACTGCATGGGGACACCACAGCAGCTGTGTGCGCACCCATTCAGACACTCTGTGCTTACTCAAGCAACGCTTCTCGGCAACTCGCACCGAGCTCTCCCAGCCCATGAATGATGTCGCCCATGCAGGGCGGCCGGCCAGCGCACACATGGCCACCGTCATGATTGTGCCGTAGATGTCGGTGTACTGGCTGTGTGGTCCGCTGCCCCGTGGCGACGGCAATGTCGTAGCTCAGCGGCACGAAGGGGACGGGCGAGGGCACCATGAGCGCGGGGTTGTACAGAATGTCGAGGGGCTCGTTCGGCTTGAGCTCGCGGGCTCCCTCATGGTCGATGTGGCGAGCCACCATCTCGCTCGGGCCGCCCGTCACCAGAAAGTTGCCCCCAGCTCAAATGCAGCTGAACGCACAAGCAGCAAATGCACAAGATGAATGCAAGTCTGCGCGCGGACGCACGAGCACAAAGCACACGAATACCTACCTGTGTCGGAAGCAGATGCCGCCGGTGGGGAGGGAGGAAGTGAGTTTCGGGGGAGAGGAGGAAGCGGGAAGATGAGAAACTGCGAGACTGTGAGCAGGCTCGAGAACGAGTAGGCTTTAGTGTTGGTGGTGGCAAGCCCACACACGCTCAGACACCCCGACGTCAGTGACCGCTTGTATGCGATGTAGACGTGCCAGTTCTTGTCCTGGGGCAATGGGCATCTCCATGGACGAGGGACACCTCTTGGCCCTCGCCGCCACTCCAAATGGCAGGCAAGTTGGTCCAGAAGCCCACCAATGGGCCTTCATCAAGCGGCGCCCAGCCATCGTCTACCGCTCCACACGCTGCTCCGTCACTCATCGACAATCCACCCCTCCGTCACTCTATTTGTCTTGACTCCACTGGCCTCGGTGCGATGGCTGGCGGCGTCGTTGGTGGGTGCGGTGTCTCATTCATTCGCCGTCGCTCCCGTGTGTGCTGTCAGTCGACGAGTGCTCCGGGTGGTCGGATGGCGGCGGGGCGGCGCCGTGGGCATCCACACCCAATATGTTGACATCTGCCGCTCGTCCAGGAGACCATTTGCAGGGCACTCTGGCACCGTGAATACTCATTGTCAAGTGCTCCTCTCTCAAGTTGTCGATGAGAATCTGGCGAGGTGCCCCCGACTCGTCTTTGCTGATGAGGTGCTTGACTGTAGCTTGACTGACGTATGTGTTGGGAGACCCGGTGTCGACGAGGAAAACGACATTGAAGGCTTGAGATGGCCGGCGCAACCAACGGGAGCGCAACACGCACCATCGATGGACCAATGGCGCCCAGCACGCCCGGCCATCGTCTACCGCTCCACACACTGCCTCCGTCACTCATTGACAATCCACCCCTCCGTCACTCTATGGCCTCGGTGCGACGGCTGGCGGCCTCGTTGGTTTGTTGGGTGCGGTGTCTCATTCATTCGCCGTCGCTCCCGTGTGAGCTGTCGGACGATCGACGAGGGCTCCGGGTGTTCGGATGGCGGCGGGGTGGCGCTGTGTGTCTGGGCGGCTCCGGCGGCGAACCATGGGTGGGCCAACGCATCGGACACTGAGGGCATTGCACACACAGACACATAAGCGGCAATCAACGACCTGCGTGTGTGTGTTTCTACCTGATGGGATGCGTTTGCCTTTGTCGGCCGTCAGCAGCCGACGACAATGTCCGCGGCCTCCGGTGACACCTCGTCAGTCGCACGGAAGCGCACTCCCTGACCCACACACCACAGACACACATGGGTGCCTTGATGGATGGATGGCCAATCTGTCCCTTCCTCTGTTGCCGACTGACCTGCCTCATTTCCCTCAGGAGGCCTTTGGAGATGCTGCCGTCGCCCCGCACACTGAAGGGATACCGGCCGGTGAGCAAGTAGTATCTGAAAGAGGGACACACACGCGACAGACATCCACACATGCACATGAGTGTGTGTGTGTTTGTGGTTGCTGTCCTGTCCGCACATGGCGACTCCGACGGCCCACAGGTCGCTGGCCGGACTGTTATCCAACAACTCAAAGCACTCTGGCGCCTAACGATGGGAGTCCTGGTAAGTAAATTCCTTGATGGTCTTCTCCATTTCACTTCTTGTGGGCACTGGCAGATAGTTGTCTGTCAATCAAGTCGGTCAATGAAGAGTATCGGGAAGTTATGAGTGGAAATCGTTACCAGTGTCACTTTTTGCTCTTGCATCTTTGACCATCCCTCCTGTCCACTCAGCTCTTCAGATCACGCTTCATATGTCTTGATACGAAGGAATGGCTGTCTTGCCCAAGTACTTCACCCATTGTCGTTTCCTGGTCGATGACAGCGGGGTAGATGGGTTGCTGATGCGGCACGAATCCCCATTGTGCGGGCGGCTGGACGCAGGGCTGCGGCGGAGACCCTCGATTGCAACGCCATGGACACGTGCGCCCCCAGTCATCCGACCATGGCAGCATGCCTTGGCGGACGCTTCCTCGAGGGCGGCCTCTTCGGCTGGTGCGGCAGAGTCACGATGAGCGTCGGCTCCTTGGCGCTGGGTGGCGGAACAGCCGCACCGGCATAAGGAACAGCGATTGGAGGGCCGAAGGGTAGAGGAGCGGCATCCGCAACAGCTCGAATCGGTCTCAAACGCACACCCTGCAAAGAGCAGATGTGAGCCGGGACGTGAGCCTTTTTTTAGCCGCCAGAGAGGACGGAGGGTTCTCCCTGCAGCTCACCTACGCTGGGCGAGGCTGTCGAAAAAAAAGGTTGGAAAAAGGCTCAGGGTTTTTTGGGGTTTGTCTCAAATTCTCGCCGTTCCGGCCGCCAATCCATCATGCGCGGTGAGTCCTGGCGGCCTATCCCCTATCTATCTCTGTGTCTCTTTGGCACTAACCTCTAGCGTTAATTTACGAACTTACCGCGTACTCTTTAGCGTTAGCGCCCGCTTAGCGCTTACCGGCGGCGGACAAAGCGCAGATCCATCCGTCCATCCGTCCATCCTCTCCTCCTCTCCCCTCCACTTGCCCCCCATTCTCACTAGCTGCGCCAACAGCTTTCTTGTCGCCGTCGCCTTCCACTCCACCATGACGCTTTCTCTGGGAGTGTTCGTCGCCGTCCTTGCTATCACCTTCTCGGGCATTCACTCAGCTGAAATTATTGAAGACGACCTCCAAGTCGAGGGGTCCATCCAGGTGAGATCGCTGTGTCGCCGCACGTGTGTTCTCGCTCATTCAGCGGCGGTGCGTTTTGTTTCCTTGGTCGCGTACTGTCCCACCTTGTAGGCGTTGAAGGCCGATTCCATCGGCGAAGAATGCCATTCGGGGCATACGATCCATAGCGGCGACATCTGTGCCAGGGGTGAGTGGGCCCTGATCGTATCATCAATAGCCATGCTGCGCGGCGGGCGTTGCCGTCGTCCGTCGCTGTTTGCGTCTGTCCACTGAATGTTGTGTGATGTGTGCAGATGACCTGATGGCGGCTGACAATTGTCTCGTAAAAAACGGCGTGTACGCTGATATTGTCCACGCGACCACAACCTGCACTTGCCCCCACACCCACAGCAGATCCATGGTCGCGCGGACGTACCACATCGACACGAGCGAATCTGCGGACATGTCAGTGCAGGACGCCGGCCAGCGGTCGGCAGCCATTGACACCCTCAAGCGTCTGGAGATCAAGAGCGCCGGGCAGGTCTTGGGTCTGTCGGCCCCGGATGTGAAGCAGGTGCGTCGAAGGATGTGTGTGTCGTTCAGCACATGTCGATGGAGCTAATGTGTGCGCGACATACGTCTGTGTGTGTCTGTGTGCGCGAACGGGCAGGTGGCGCCCAACATGGTCAGCGAGGACGAGCCGGATGAGCGGCCGGCTGTGGACATGACGCAGCTCCTCTACACGCACCTCAGCGTGACGCAGGAGCTCATCAAGAAGGTCGAAGCGCTGGAAGAAGCTGCGACGAGGAACAGGGGACTGATGGCTCCGTGAGTGTGATTGAAGCACAAGTCAGGGGATATCGTCCGATGTGTATTTGTGCTGACTGACTTGTGTTTAACTGTAAGAACGGGAAAGCGATCGAGGGGTTTGCATACATCCATAGATTCATAGGGAAGACGAGGGAAGATGCAAGAGGGCGAGGGATAAAGGCCAAGACAGACAGACAGACAGACAGACACACAGACAGACAGACAGACAGACAGACAGACATACAGACATACAGACATACAGACAGACACACAGACAGACAGACAGATAGACAGACAGACAGATGCTATGCTGCTTACACCCCCTTCCCATTTGCTGTATTTTTCCCCCGCTACAGTGGGGACCGAGTAGGCAAGAGACTTCTCGGAACGACGACAGACAGATGCGGAAACAGAGAGACGGGGGGGTGCTATTCTGTGGACCTGCATGCCATGTGTGCGTGGAGGTGTGTGAGTGGCAACGCATCCATACGCGTCAAGATGCGACTCACCACCTACCTGCACTGTCTTGTTTTTGTTTTGTCGGGGCTTCTGACGGCAGGCAGCTTCTCTTTCTTTTGAGTCGATGGGGGCGTAGCTCAGTTACTTCCGTGCTGGGGAGCAATCGAGTGTGTGTGGGGGGGGAGAGACATGCATCTTACATGGATCAAGTAAATGACGCGCTTCGATTGTCAATCCAATCCAATCGCCCATTGTCCGATACCGCCCGGGGAAGTTCGTAAATTAACGCTAGACGGCCCTACCATGCGACGAAAGGCATGAAGGATGCAACGGTGCTCTCACTTCACTGTGCTGTCTGGTGTGTTGTCTGGTACCCCCGTTCTGGGGCTCAATCTAACGACAACCGTCCCGCGTGCTGTCTTCACGACTGTCCGTCAACAGATCTCGCTCTTTCATCTCATTGCGTGTTCTCTGAGACAGAGAGAGGGAGACAGAGGGGCACATGCGCAGTGCACGCCCCCACTCACGCAAGTCGACAGATCTACCCTCCCTCCCGCATGGGCGTGCCCCCCTATTGAAAAATGGAGGTCACGTGGGGCCACCCGATGTGGGGCGCATATGAACCGGAATTGAATGGGCATCAAATCCGATACAGGCACCCGTGTCTCATTCGTCGTCCGCGTGAAACTGTCCCAATGTCGAGTTACAAGGGCATAACCGAATCGACGAGGAAGCACCGCAGCCACATTCTGAGTACACCAACATGCGCAGCTCGTCATGCTGCGTCACATGGTGCTCTCAACTTCTCTCTCCGACACCACCTTCAAGATTTTTCCCTGAGTGACCATGTACGGGGAGTCACAGCACGCCACGGAGAGCTCCGCCCACCTCGCCACCGGGCACACACGACAGCCCTCGGCCATTGCTCTCAGTCTCTCGCCCAATTGACTCACTTTCACAACCTGCATCAGCCGCTGGGAGGCGAACAAGATGTCCCGCGACACTCACCTCCCCCTCTGAGCCCACCGTCAGCAGATCTCCGCTCGCCTGAACACCAGCGTGATGCCAACTCGATGCTGCACAAGGTGAATTATGTAACACAAAAAAGTCAAGCATGACAGTCAATCACTCTCACTCTCACTCTTTTCTCTGTCGCAGACCTTCGATTGCCAGTTTCTCGTGGTTCTGCTTGTTTGAGGGCGCCGCTGCTTCACCCAACTGAAACACTCACCGCACACAATCACACCAGGTACACACACAGGGAGGAGGAAAGATCCACAGACAGACACACATATACGTACCCACTTGTACATGGACGGATGGACGGATGGATGGGTGTGCAGGTCGTTGGGCATCTGCGCACTCGCAACCTTGGCATGCCTGACGCGGTGAGTGGTTACACACGGGACCAGTGGACACGTACACACGATGCACACGGACATTGTCCCATCTTCCTGTGGTGGATTGCCTTGCCCTTGGTTTTTCGTCGATGCAGGTGAGTGTGCCGCCCGTCCGTGGTGCCGTCGTAGAGCTCACTCGCTGGCAAATCGTCTGAGGTAAGCAGCAGCCACCCCACGACACACGCACATATCCATTCCCCCCATCTGTGTCACCTGTATACCTTTGACAGAGTGTTTCTCGCCAACGAAGACGAGCATCATCACGGCGCTGAGCATCATTGAGCACTGCACTGACCCAGGTAGACGGCGAGGCGGACCGGGGCGAAGACACCTAAATACAGACACACATGTATCCATGTATACACATGTATATGTGTACGTGTATTGTGTGTGTGGTGTCTGTACCCCTCCAGGTTGCACGTCGCACCACCTTTTTGCCCCCTGTCGAGCCACGGGTCCACCAGCCACCACAACACCGCCCTCCCAAGCCCTCTCCCTGTGACCCACCCACGGCGAATGATCTCTTGGCTTTGGTGCCGCCATGGCCTTTCGTTCAGTATGGTATGCACAGGTTTTGTGCGGTATGGTATGTACAGTATATGTGCGGTGGGGTGGGGCCTCTCTGGTTGAGTGTTTGGATGGATGGATGGATGGATGGGGTGGAGTGTCGTCGTTCGGGCCGGGTGTATCAATGAGTGAATGAATGAATGAATGGCTGGCTGCCTTGCCTGATTGGCTGGATGACTTACTAGTACTATAGTAACTGACGTTGCTTTGGTGCGGCCGCATCGTCGCCGCCCCGCGGCTGGGCGGCAAGAAGGCACCCAGCTGCTGCGTCAGTGCAGGGGGCGTCCGGAGCGAAGACAACGATGAATGAGTGAATGACTGGCACTGCGGCAGCTATCAGTCATTGCTTGCCTGGTCCTCCGGCGGAACACCACCGAATCCCATAGAGGGATTCTTCACAAGGTTCTTCAGCTTCATCATCGGGTTGTACTTCTTGGGAGAGGAGAGGAAACCTGTGGGCCTCTGGGGGGAGACTGCGAGCTTTCTTGATCTCGACCCAAGGACGATTGATCTCGACCGAAGGACAAGATATGGCATGCAGCGAAGCTGTTACCGATTTGCACTGATGGATGGCTCATTTCACTGGTATGCATTGATGTCGATGATGTCAATCCCAGCCGAGCTGAGCCTTTGCACTGCACACCACAGACATATAGTGCCCGCTCACGCAAGTCGACAGATCTACCCTCCCTCCCGTCTACTGTACGACCATCCATCCATCCATCCATCCGTCGAGCCCCTCGAACAACAAATCCGACCCACACGTCAACCGCATCCCTCCATCTGAAAAAGAGTCACTCACTCCACAGAATGTAACGTACCACAGAGGTTGCAAAAAAGAGCATGGTACACGTAAAAGAGCATGGCACTCCGAAGTAGTATCGAGACACGACCCAAACCACACATGCCTTCATCCACGTCCGGCCCCTTCCGGCAGAGACGCTTCCTCCAGCCCAGAGATCAAGTCAGTCACGCTCGTCTGTCGGCGGGGGGGGTCATCGGTGGCTTGTGGGCGTGCGGCTTGGCGGGTGGGCA